TTTTTTGTTCAATTTTTTATATTGTTCATGACCCTTCTTATGACCTCCTTTTTTTTTTTTAAAAAAAAAAGAAGGATTAAAACTGGTTTATTTTTTCTTAAAAAGATTTTTTTTTTATTTTTAACATTCCGTTCGCTCCGATTTTATTTTTTAGAAAATGAGAAAATGAGAAAAATAAGAAAAAAAAAAATTACCAAGTTTATCAAATTTGATCTATAATGAGAATTACACAAATAAATAAATAAATAAAATATTAAAAATTCCGGAATTCCGAAATTCCGAAAAAAGAACTTGATAATCCGGTCATATCCATAAACCATAAATCTCCAAATATGACAATAAAAAAAAAAGGGTTTTTTTTTTCTTTTTTAACCAAAATTATTTGTTAAATAGTTATTGTAATAAAAAATTTAAATGTATAAAAAAGTGTATTAAAAAGTGTATAAAAAGTGTATAAAAGGTTTGTTATACAATACAATGATATATGATTGATAAAAGATTAATGATATATGAGATAATGATGATATTATGATAATGATTGATTGATTATATGATTGATGACGACGAAGATGATGTAAGTTATTTTTTCAACAAATAATATATGCATTTTATTTAAAACCATTTGAATATTTTTTTTTTTATTCAAACTATTCAAAACTAAGAAATTTAATTATTTTACAAATTTGGATTCTGAATAATAATTGTATGATGAAAATGATGTGCACGTTGCAACAATTTGGATGATCCTTGTATACATTACATTATATTATTATTTTCATTATCATTTTTATCATATTTCATTATTTGCTTAACTTTCAATCCTTTTTACCATAAAAGATCAATTTTTTTTAAAAAGATTCGGTACTTTTTTAAGATTAAGTATCCGAAGAACCAGTAAAAAAAAAAAAAAAAAAAGTCCGTTGGCTCCGTCAAAAAGAAACGTCATTTTTTTTTTTTTAATACTCAGCCAAAAAAATTCTTAATACTTTATTGTTTACCACTTAAAAAAAATAAAATATAATAATAAATAAATAAATAAATAAATATAATAACATCATATATTTAAAAAGAACAAATCCGTTATAACCACATTTAGTTAATATAAAAAAATCAT